TGTGTATGTTCACTATAGTACATTTCTTAGTGTGTGTCTATGTTTATTATAGACTTATGTACACATATTAGTACATCTTTCTACATTAGAGTGTGTGTGTTCACCTGTATGTGTACTATGTACCTGTGTCAGTGTGTGTTATGTGTGTATATCTCTACTTTGTTATTTAAAACCTTTTGACCCCACACAGGAACCTGGGGGTGTCGGTGTGCTCCACCCTGTGTGACGTTGGGGGGATAATCTCTCCCTTCCTGCTCTACCGGCTGGCCGCCGTCTGGCTGGAGCTGCCTCTGCTGATCTTTGGTAGGTTTGAAAACCCCGTTCCCATGCCGCCATTGGTCCAGGGGTTTAATTAACTGTTTGTGAATCTGGACCAGGGGCGGTGGCGCTCGTGGCCGGAGGTCTGGTCCTGCTCCTGCCGGAGACTAAAGGAAAACCTCTCCCCGACACCATCGAGGACGTCGAGTTCCCCGATCGGTATCTTCAAACTCACACACTCCGAACTGTTCCAATCACATAAAGCACTCAGGATTGATCCTCCCTTTTTGATCATTTAAAGGGGACATATTGTGCAAAACCAAGTTTTTAATAATCTGATTATGTACATTTGGGACTGTGGAGGGCCTATCAGCAGGCAAAGGGTGAAAAAAAATGAGTCAGTCATGTTTTTGTGGGCCGCCTCAGTCTGAATCCAGGAGATAAATCAGGAGGTTTCAGGAGTGGGTAGTTTCTGACGTCATTAGCTCTAGCTCATTATAATATTCCAGCCTTTCACCTGCATGTTGCCCCCCCCCTCAGCTTACTCCCCTATCTGTGGAGACGTCGTGGTAGCGGGAGCATTAGCATGGTAGTGTTAGCATGGTAGCGTTTGCATGGTAGCGTTAGCATGGTAGCGTTTGCATGGTGGCGTTAGCATGGTAGCGTTAGCGTGCCGACGTGGGCACACCTCCCGGAAGAAGTGGGTGGATTGCCTGTGTCTCATTTGCATTTAAAGAGACAGGCACTCCAAAGCGAGCGCTCTGAACGGGGCTGTTTTGGGTTAGGGTTAGGGTTAGGGTTAGGGTTAGGGTTAGGCAGGGGGACTGAACTGCTATTGGGCTTCATCCTTATGGGATTTTGACCAAAGCTTGTCACAGACATTACATTACGACACCAGGGAGCTAGTTTAACTTGTTGAAATAGGGTATAATATGTCTCCTTTAATGGTTTGAGTTTCACTGATGAACCAGATTTGTTTATTCAAACAATCTATGGCACATTTCCTCTCTCCAACACATTCACTCTGAGTGTTTCACTGTTAGAAGTGAGGGACTTTAGATTAATCATGGATCTTCTGAGTACACCTTTTATCTTTGCAACAATTTCAAACAAGTTACAAGTATGGAAAATTGTCCAAAATATGGTTTGATGCATCCTACATTCACATATATAACTCCTAATTTATTTTTTTTCAGGATAAACAATCCAGAGGCGAATCAACAAATGAAGACGTTCATACAATCCAACCTGATGGAAGGAGAAGAAACGACTGTATCACCGTTTAATTCAGTCTAACGGCTCAAAAACAAAAAGCCCTCCTCTTTTTAAACACGTTTTACACAAAGCCTGACTTCCTCTAGACGTCTTTAAGCTCTTAAAGAGCCAAAGTGGCCACCTGAAGAGCAGTAACATTATCAAAGTGCACAGTTTGGTTTTGGTTTTTAGTTGGTTTGGATGGTATTCTCTATCCAGTCGACAAACTTGGAGACCCGAGCGTAGACGCCGGGTTTCATGGCGTTGGCGCACCCCAGGCCCCAGGACGTCACTCCCTGGAGGACGAACCGGTTCTGAGCATAACAAACCAGAGGACCGCCACTGTCTCCCTGCACACACAAAAAGACATCTCACAACTCAGCGCACAAAGAAATCAAAATTAAACTTACAATTACACCAGATGACAAGTGTTTCTAATAGGTTTTGGTAGGGGTTTAGTACCCTGTAGTCATCAGCTTCTCTATAGAGACATTTTCTACAGAAAACAGAAGTACTTTGTACTTTATTTGAAGTTTTTTTGCAGTTATACTCATAGAATGGCATAAAATGTTGTTTGGTTAATTTTCCAGCAAGTTTTCCACCAATTTTCCATAATATATATATATGTGTATATTGAAAGGGATGGGGTCTGTAACTGATGAGCTGAGGTTTACAGATCTGGTGGCAAAGTTTAAAATCTATAACACATTTCATCAGATGGTTTGTAATTCATGAAATTTGTCTTAATTTGAGAGTTAGAACTGTGCTTTATCCATCCAATGTTGTTTGCTTTAGAAGATTCGACTTGTTGGAATTGTGGAAAATGTTTTCTGTTCTGGTCATAGCAGAAATTTTGTCAATAATATGGGATGAGTGCATGTTTTTTTAATCTTTTGGAATCGTTGCTTGAAATAAGGCTGTACCACAAAATAAAACAGGAAGTTGGACATCAACACTTCCAGATTTAAACGTCTCTGTACCTGGCAGCTGTCTATTCCTCCCTCGATGTTTCCTGCACACATTTCATGATCTTTGACTCTTCCGTTCAGGTAGGACGGACG